CTGATGGTCTTTAGGGTCTCTTCCAACTCTAGGTGTCTACTGATCAATCAATTATCTATCTATGTATCTATCTCTTTTGGGTCAGACTAGATAGCCTTTGAGGTCTCTCTCAACTCTAAGCAGCTAATGATGAATCAATTAATTTTATCTATCTATCTCTTTCAGGTCAGACTAGATGGCCTTTGGAGTCTTTTCCAACCCTAGGATTCTATCAATCAATCAATCACCTATCTATTTTTTCTATCTATTTTTCTATCTATCTATCTAGCTGGCTAGCTAGCTACCTCTTATGGGTCGATGGGGTCTCTTCCAACCCTAAGAATCAATCAATCATCTATCTGTCAAACAGACAGATTGATTGATTCAATCAACCAACCAACCAACCAATCAGTCATATATCTATTTTTCAAATAGACAGATTCATTCAATCAATCAATCAATCACTATCTATTTGTCAAATAGACAGATTGATTCAATCCATCAATCACCTATCTATTTGTCAAATAGGCAGATTAATTCAATCAATCAATCAGTCATCTATCTAATTGTCAAATAGACAGTTGGATTAATTAATTCAATCAATCATCTATCTATTTGTCGAATAGACAGATTGATTCAATCAATCATCTATCTGTCAAATAGACAGATTGTTTCAATCAATCAATCATCTATCTATCTGTCAAATAGACAGAATGATTAAATCAATCAATCATCTATCTGTCAAATAGATTGATTCAATCAATCAATCAGTCAGTCAATCAATCATCTATCTAACGGTCAAAGAGAATGATTAAATCAATCAATCATCTATCTGTCAAATAGGTTGATTCAATCAATCAATCAATCAATCATCTATCTATCTATCTATCTGTTAAATAGACAGATAGATAGATGATTGATTGATTGAATCCTAGGGTTGGAAGAGACCCCAAAGGCCATCGATCCATAAGAAATAGAAAGAGCTATCTATCTCTTATGAGTCAAACTAGATGGTCTTTAGGGTCTCTTCCAACTCTAGGATGCTCTCTCTCTCTCTCTTTTATTAGCCAGACTGGATTGTGTACAATTGATGTATTCATTCAAGGCAGGAATGTTGGATTCAGGCTGCAATATCCATCCCGGCCACAGAGTGGCAGCAGAGAGCAATGAGTGTATATCAATGCAAGACATTAAAGTTGGGTTCAGGCTGCAATATCCAATCCAGCCACAAAGTGGCAGCAGAGGGCAATGGGTGTATATCAATGCAAGCAAGGAAGTTAGCTTCAGGCTGCAATATCCACCCCAGCCACAGAGTAGCAGCAGAGAGCAATTTGCATGGGGAAAATGAATGGGGCTGGAAAGATCTCCCCCTCACCTTTTTTTTTCTTCCTGGCAGAAAATGCTGGAGAAGCAGGTGACCAAGCTGCAGGACCCCCAAGAACTCCCCGAAGGGTTAGATACCTCCAAATACCGGGACTGGCTCCTGAAGGAGGAGCGGCCCACCATCCAGGAGCAGGAGACTGTCATGCGCAACAAGTGAGACAATAAATGGGGACGATGAGAGCTAGAGTACTGCCATTCTTGACCCTTGGTCAAAGCAGCTGACCTGTCCCTTTCCCCCCTCTATAGGTATCTGGAGATGATTAACCAGGAGCTGGAGAAGCTGGAGCAGCTGGCAGAGGAGAACCGGCGCCTTGCTTTGGCTCAGGATGACAAGAAGAAGATAGGGCTGGAAAAGCGGAAGCAGCTCCTGTTGAGGAAGAAGATGGAAGAGGTGATGACGAATGCCCACCCCCATTGAGCCTCATGATAGAGGTGGAAGGGACCCCCAAAGACCACCCAGTCTAGCCCCCTTCTGTCAGAAAGGAAGTCCTCCCCACAGATAGACATCTGAATTCTAGCCCATCTAGATAATGCTATACACACACATACATACAGAGGGTTGGACTGGATGGCCTTTGGGGTCCCTTCCAACTATAGCATATGATTGATAGGTAACATAGATAGATAGATAGATAGATAGATAGATAGATAGATAGATAGATATTTCTTCTAGGTACAGAATATGACAGATAGATATCTCTTCCAGCTCTAGGATATCATAGATACATAGATAGATAGATAGATAGATAGATAGATAGATAGATAGATAGAGATAGGTCTGTACATACATACATACATACATACATACATACAT